TATTTTTAAGTATTAAACATTCTTTCTGAACATAAGATTAATATATATTGGAATTTAAATTAATTTATCTTCTATATAATATATCTATATATCAACATTAGAATAGCATTAGTTTTTTATTTTTTATTTTTACTTATTAATCAATAGAGATTAACAATTTAGATAATAAACAACAAAATGACACATATTAAAACATTGAATAAATATCCTTTTGCTTTTTTTTTTTATAACAGAGATAAAATTGTGATCATTATAAAACTGCTTTTGAATATGTCCCATATTAGTTTTGTTATGTAAGTGAGGAAGTTTTAGTCGAACAAAATGAAAAAACAATAAAAATCAATTCAATTATAATGTTAAAATCTAACTACATAACATGAAAGATAAATTAATTTAAATTCCAATATATATTAATCTTATGTTCAGAAAGAATGTTTAATACTTAAAAATAGTTATTGTAATTTTAAAATAAAATATTATTTTAACCCGAATATGATTTATCTCTTTAATTTATAGTACACACATTTCTATATTAAATTTATTGAAAATATTTTTGTTTATTTTTAGTTTTGTTTTTGTTAAAAGAAAAAAAAAAAAAAACGAAAAATGTTTTATGATTATTGTTTAAAACGTTTCAATGTTCGAATTGACCTGATTATATTTCCGTATTATTTAACAAGATAGAACTTATCCTACAGGTTTTCTGATTATTTTCTGAAAGAAAAAAGAAAATTTTAAAATATTTATTTTTGAATATATTCATTTTTTTCTTGTAAGAAAGAAAATGAAAATGTGCTTTTCTTATCGAATAATATGTCGAAATATTTTATTTAAATAAATAATTAATATCATTATAAGGAGAAAACAAAATGGCACATTAACTTTTTAGAATTATCTTATTTTAATTTTGAAAGATCGCTCAATAAAAGTAAGAATATTGATTGTTCAAATTTAATATTCATACGATACGATGAAAACATTGAAAACGAGATATAATATATCTATAAATATTAACTTTCTGTAATATTTCATCAAAATATATATTTTCCTCAAGTTTTAATACGAACATATTATAATTTACCTTATGATGACAAAGATCCTTCTCTTTACAACGAACAATCGATAATCAGTTACCATATTCATATTTTATTTTATTTTCAGATTACCAATTCTACTACGAATACCTTTCTATTCCAATAGTAAAATTTCTCTATGAAAACATATTTGTATTGATGAATAACATACGTATATATTGAAAAAATAAAGACAAATTATTAACGTTATTGTCATTTTAAGTATGATTGGTAATAAGAGCTAAATTTATCAGGCAACATGTAACTGGTGAACAAAACACTGCATAAAATCATTAATTGATTATTAAAAAACAAATAATATATGGATATAAGTATCTTCGTTACAACGCATATTTATTCTTCGATTCTTCGTTTGAAAAATTCCAGTAGAAAAACATCATATCTTACATCGAAATCTTTGGACACAAAATGAGAATATTATGCATAATTTTATTCCGTGAGCAAATTTGATATTGGTATTATTTTCTCTTGTCTAATTTATATCTCATGTAATATTTTTAAATTCAAAATAAAACATTGTTTGTTGACTCATTAAGCTTCTTATCGCAATGTTCTTTTTTTAATAATTAGTCTTCCGCTAGAATTTATTTCCTCCTTAAATCAATGATGAAGAAACATGTTCTAGCACCTATACTATTATTTGCATCTTTATTTACGCTTCTTTTTCTAATATTTTAAAAAAAACATTTTGTTCCATATATATTAATTTTCTTCGATTTTTCAAAAACAATGTTTTTCTATGCTGTTTTTATTTTTTTTTCAATTTATATTACTTATTTTTAACCTATATGGAGTTATAAAGTTATAGACCAATTATCTGGAGACATTAACAACAATTTTCTTTGGAGAATAGAAAGTTCTACGACGTTTTCTATTTTCTATAAAGATACTCACATTGTGAAATCGAGGTCGATTTTGTGAAGTTATCCATATGAATTCATTGTCGACAAAGATTTTTTTTTATGATAATATGAAAAATAAAAAATGAAATAACTCTTTTAATCAAATTTAATATTTTCAAGAAAGTATAAGACGGCTGACAATTAAGTATATATGGACATTTCTAAAATATCTTTCTTCATGCTTTATGATATATTTTTAGTTTACAGTTTAAGTTATCATCTCCGCTTCGCTTTTTACTGTTTTATTGCAAGAAAAAGCTGCGATAATGGTTCCGATTTTCAAAATGCTTCCAATTGCTCTCATCCACTAAAGATATTTATTAGGCGCTGATTAACTTAATAAATAGATGTATGGTACAATTCTGTATGTTTTCGTTTGAATACTCTTAACTCAAGAATGAAATAATGGGCGTATCTTTCTAAGAAACAACGTATCTCATCTCAAATAAACGATTCAGCTTCTCATTAGTCATCGGCGTTCCTTCTGACTCGTTCCTTCTCTTAATGCATCCCACATTTTAATATAAAAAACCAAGGTACTTTTAGTCGCATTCTGCAATAATTCACACAAAAACATTTGGGTCAATCCAATTTCAGGTTCTACGATTTGACATGTATAAATCACACGAAAATTACAACGAAATCCCTGAAAGTCGAAAAATAGAAAATTTTGTTTCTGATTGATAAATTTTCTGACTGATGGTAGGTAAAATGAAAATAAAGTAATCTCATATTCGTCTTTCTCACCCCTAACAACCTATAGAAATGCTTCATTAAAAATTCCATGAACATTAAAATAGAAAACCTCACTTCTAAATTGTGGATTCTTTGACCAAAGAGAGGTTGAATGAAAAACTAATATGAAATTCACGTTCCTGGTCCTTGATAACCTATGTCAAACTTTCATCAAAAGATCCAAAAAATAAGGAAGCTTGTTTCTGATTGGATTGAACAGACAAATATACATACATTTTTCATCTAACACATTTTCTTTCAGAATAGAGAATAATGAACTTGTGATAGGAAAGATTTTAAGGCTTTCATACTCGAATACACATTTTAACTTGGATTCACATGAATTAGTTCAGAATAGAATCCTCTATCGAATGATGTATAACTTGACTACTAAATAGTAACGATCAGAACTGCTGCACACAAGGTAAAGGAAAAAAAATTATTTTTTCTCTATTCTGAGTAGGACAGAGTAACATCTTTATACCCTGAAAAATGGAAACTCAAATTTTCTAATTTTCATCCTGAAAAGAGCATTTTTTTAGTTTTTGACAGTTAAATAGCAAAATAATTTTACTTGAATATTTTTCTCAAATGAATTTCTATAGTAAAACTTTTGTATATAAATTATGTATATGGTATCATTTACTTATCTTGTTATGTGTTGATATTTATATATTTTATCGATGAACCTATGAGTTATGATTATTGTAAAGTGGTCTTAAATAAAACAATTCTCTATGATGCAATAAGAAACATTTTTATTTTTTTAACTCGACTGGAAATTACAATCAAGATAATGTGTTAATTTAGCAGGTCAGAGAAGGGCAGGGTGTGAAAAAATCATCCTATGAATACTTCTGGTAACGATATAATTTCTTACGCAACAATCTCTTGTTTGTCACTCATCACTAATAAAACTCACATGTGAACTATACATGATTGAATACCAACACTATGGTGAAACTTTAACATAAAAATGTGAAACTTGTAGAAATAACTCATTATTACAAACTCTAGAAATAGTGAAAGTTTTCAATTCAAACGATCATTTCTTTCTTTATTAAATAAAGACTAATTTGAGAAGAGTCTCCAGTCCTTTATTTTTATTTTCTATATATTTGGTTAAGAAAAACTCAATGCCCATATATCGATCATTTCAAGTTGAAATAAAATTCGAAATACAGAGTTTGATAGAGTAAAGTCTGCTATAGAAAATTCACTAAATCAACAAGTCTGGGAGCTTGTCTTTAGGGAGACTTATTAGGGACTGAATTTAAGTAGTAACGTTTTGTTATAGGCCAATGGTATAGACTGAAATGAATTTTTGTCAAATCAATACTACTTATATTACAAAAACAAAAACAAAGATTAAACTAGAGCCACAGACTTACAGCATTACATTCATTGCAGTAATATGAAAAATTACGTAATCGTGTATTTTGTTCAAGCCAATCCGGTGTAACGAAATGGTGAAAATGAGAAGGTGTTGCTTTATAAGGATGACCAATAACTATATTTGATATTGTTGTCGGTATATTATTTAAAAGTTCAGGTATATTTAAATCGACATCATGTTGACAACTAAGATATTCTATATGAGTAAAAGAACGATCGTGATGCATCAATCTCATTTACAGTTAAACTTCTTTCTACAGTTGCAGCAGTCAGCCAACTTAAAAATATTTCTAAACGACGAATGTTCGACCAATGGGAAATGAATAGCAATTTAAGAAGAACAAGAGAAGCACGAAGAGAAACTAAATGAGACATTGTAAATACGAATTGAACAAAAGTATCATTATTAATCTTTACACGGCAACTAGGAATAGAAAACGTTGTCATTTTTGACATGTCAATATGTCGAACGAACTTATTAAATAATACATGAAAACTTATTTCGAAATCAGAAATATTTAATTTTTGAAGGTTCATCAGTCGACATTAATTTCTATCATCTAATTTAAATTGATTATCAATCCTAAAATAGTTAATCTTATCAAGTGATAATAGTTGTCGTCCGGTTGTTTTTGTGTCGATATTTCCTTTCATGTTATATCATGAATAAGTATCCGTACATTATGGAATTGAATAAAGTAATGAGAATCCACTATTAGGACATCGATCATATCCAACATACCATTTTTTGTTTTCTAACCAAAATAATAATCGGAATTAATCGAGAATGATCGACTCTTCGATTCATAGTACTTTCAGGAAAACTAAACGAGAATTTGAACGAAATTATTTTAATCAATATTCGTTCCCATGCAGCACCATCAGTTACATCATGAGACGTATTACGGGCAATAATTGTCAAATGAGTTAATTTTTGCATTGAATGCAATATTTGTTCGATAATTGAGAAATAAATATGGGAAAATTTTCAGCGATAATCGTTGTAAATTTTCAGGTGGATTTATATGAAATTTATAAGCGGGATGATATGTAGTGACGCTTGTGACAAGTGTACGTAAAGTAGGTGCAATAGAATATAATTGTTGCAGATCGATAAGTATATTAGGTAAAGTTAAATATTTAATTGAAGAGATTTGTTTTCCACAAACATAAGAAAAATATATAAGAGGAGAACCATAATTACATGTTACATGAATATATTTTAGTGAATTCGACATAAATAATATATCTTTGAGCAGATATGACATTACTTTACCAGATTCGACATCAAATGAGAATATAGACCACATCAATGAAGAGTGAGACGAGTGACATAAGTGATTTAAGATGATGTTTTATTGATTTTCACATAATATGAGCAACATGAGATAAATGAAGTGATTTTAAATTAGAAAATGTATCAATGATAACTTCAAATCTTGAAAAAAAAACGTTCAATCTTTGATGGTATTGTTACATTATTATGATCCAAAAATGATAATGAAACAATTTGAGATAATATTGAAGTTAATCGATCACAGAAAATATTAAATTGTTTTCTTTTCTTAGTATAACTGAGATCAACTCGAAAATGAGTATAGAAAAGATATATTAAACGAAGTCGTTTGTTAACAAGACATAAAGATCCAACTATATCAAATATTGTAATATCATTGAGAATTTTGTAAATTAATTCGACTGGAAAATTGATCAAATAATCTGACATATTATTTTTATTGATAATAAGTCAATATTTATATTAAGTTTTTTTTTTTTAAATACATATAAATAAGCGAACGGCATAATAAAGAGTATGCAATAAACAATAATCGTTGTGTTGATTGTCAAGTTTTAATTGAGCAGAATATGACAAAGCTACAACGATAAGATTAAATGAATTTATTCAGAAACTTAACTCATTTTATTGATTCGTCGAACTTGAATCTATGAATTACCTATACGTTACATTATCGTTCAACTGAAACAATGATCATTTATACAAGGCTGATATATTAATTCTTGCAAACTATTTAGAGAAAATATTAATATTAAAAACAAAACTTTCTTGAATAAGAATTCGTTCTGAAGAATAGATTTCTAGTTATTTATTGACTGTTTTATCTATTTTTCTGCATATACTTCAATTAATATTATTGTATAAAAAGCATACGTTAAAAGAGAACCGAGACGCTCACTAAAATGTATAACAATAGAAAAAAATCAAGCACACAGAAGAGATGCCAACGAATGTTCTAAATTTATCGGAAATGAAAGAGAAATAAATTTTTTTTTCTTAACAGAATTTATACCATATCTCTGTTGTTTATAATACAGCAAATCTTTCCAATACAGAAAAACTAACTGATTGATAAAAGGGCCGATATTAATTCAAAGAAGCTTTTCGACGTTGCGAACGTCGGAGGCGGCAATGTTCACATTAGTCACTATTGATTAGAGTCATGTTTTCAGGAAAGTGAAAAGAATCAAAATTACACAAAATCAAGTTCAAAGTTTTAGAAATATACTTAAATTAATGTAAGAGATGCTATTTCATGAACCGAAAGCTTCTATAAAGGTGATAAAAAATGTAACTATCATTTGTCACTTGTTTACCAAAATTAATGGGGCATCGAATGCAATTATATGATACTAGATTGAAAATTCTTTCTACCAAAGATGATCATATTCGTGATAAACATTCAAAAACTAAGCTCTTAGACGCGAAAAACATTATAGCGTGTCCCTATAATTAAATATCAGAGATTTTTTACATCGACCACGCTCAGGTAGATGTTACTTTTTCATGAATTGAAAGATGTCTCTACTCTACATTATAGTCTGGTCAAGAAAAACATTGTTTATATACTATATTTTCTGGAAAAAAGCTAGCCTCTTTAAATTGTGACAATGTCATGTCTTCCATTGACAACTTTGAATTGTTGGTAATTCAATCTTATTGTAATCCTTATTATTATTTTGACGTTTCAAATTTGATCACTTAATCATAATAGCTTAATATATCTTTCTCTATAACTAATTCACACGAGAAATCAAGAAGAAATTAGTCTATTTGCTTAGTCTTGGTGTTTCTCCTCAAAAAACAAATTAATCGCTACAAACTGATTGTACTATATCTGGAACAGATAGGGTTGTACTCACGATGAAACATTCCCAAGTTCAAGTGTCACATCGCTTTTGAGTTGAGAGTATGAGCATCATATAGGCCCTAATGATCTATGAATAACCTGAAAAAAGTTCGTGCTGCTAGCTTATTGCTGTCGAGATATTGCATTTTTACGGTGCGTTTTTAAATAAATACCGTAGTCCCCCTCAGGAACACCAGAAAAAATGATTTTCGAATTTCGACTTGAAACTTTACATAGAAACAGTCCTCATTGAGAATAGTTATTTGTGAAAGTTTCAGATGTTTTGATTAGTTCCTATCAGAGACCGTCACAGGGAACTTTTTTA